AGGAAATGGTGCCATGACGGACAGATGTGGTGCGTCGACGCGCCTCTGAAGCCAGCGGTGGGGCAGTTCATGGTCAAGCTCGCCGAGTTCTTGCAGCCGACGATGGACGGCGCCTACCTCGAGCACGCGCGCCTGCAGGCGCAGAGCGAGGACAAGTCCGACGGTGAGGTCGCGGCTGCGGTCGACGGTGACGCCGCGGCGGTCGCGACCGCGACCGACGGCGAGGCCGCGAAGGCGGGCCGCAAGAAGAGAAAGGGCTGCGCCAAGGTGGGGGGCATGCGCAAGAGGCCAGCGATGGCCTGCAAGAGGCCAGCGGCAGCCGACCCCCCACCAGCAGCTGGCGCAGCAGATGATGGACCACCAGCTGACGAGGCCGCGGCTGGCGCCAAGAGCAGCCACACAGGGCTCGACGAGACGTACAAGCAGGGCAGGGTGTACAAGAACACCACCGTGGGCGAGTACACGGTCACGATGACGAAGCAGAAGAAGAGGCACGACCTGGCCATCGTCTATGCCCCTGGCAAGAAGCAGCTCTTCCAAGTCAGCGAGAGCAGCACCAAGCTGGACATCGAGATCGCGTTCAAGGTGGCGATGGACATCGCCACTGCCATTGTGGACGGCAAGGTCCGCCTGCTGGTGCTGCAGATGCCGTTGCTGCTGCTGCTGCTCTACCCCTGCTACTGCTACTGCTACTGCTGCTGCTGCTACTACTACTACTACTACTACTACTACTACTACGACTACTACTACTACTACTACGACGACGACTACTACTACTACAGCAACTACGGCTACGACTACGACTACGGCTACGACTAGTATTACTAGACTGGATCCCCCTCATCCTTCTCCTCATCATCCTCCTCCTTCTCCTCCTCCTTCTCCTCATCATCCTCGGGGTGTGGTTCGTCGCTGGCCCACTGTGGGATGTCGCCCCCCAGTGTGATGGCAAAACGTTCCTCCCCGATAGCCGCACCCCGTTTTTCTCCACCTGACCTTCTCTGACCTCTTCGTGCGGCAGTGGCGCTCATCATCCTCCCCCCCCCCCCTCCCCCTCCTTCTCCCTTCAGTCTCGCTCCAGGCCCATGCCCCGCTGCAGCCCCGCCCGCCTCTCGCCCGATCCCAGGTCGAGCCCGAGAAGAGCGCCCTGCAGGCATATCGGGCAGAGCTGCTGAAGCAGCTCAACGAGGCCTAGCGGAGCCGCAGGGCCCCGCGACGAGGCTGTAGGGCCCCGCGGTGGCGATCGATAGAGAACGCGAGATCGATGTAGCGATCCGATCGGTATCGGTAGCGATGCTGATTCGATGGCGATGGCCATGCCGATGGCAATCGATCGAGCCGTTGGCGCCGGTGGCGATGCGAGCGATCGCGAGCGATTCGATTCGAGAGATGGTGATGGCGATGATGATGTTCTGAGTTGTAGTGTTTCTCCTGGGCGCGGCCGCAGGAGCAGGCGCGCGTAGTGCGCGCACTCGGGAGCGCGCTGGCACATCGATCCCAGCTATCCGTCGGGAGGAATAGCTGGCGTTTGTTCCAAACAAGGACGCTCTAGATGGGGTGGGGGGTGGACGCGGAATACGAGGAGGATGAGGGCGAGGAGGAGGAGGCTGAGGAGGAATATGGGGGTACGACCTTCAGGCCATGCCCAAAGCGTTGCCGATGCAAAAGCGACTCCACCGAACCCAACCCAGGAGGAGGAGAAAGGCGGAAGAAAGAGGAGGAGGGGAAGGACGAGGAAGAGGCTACCCTGCGCCCCAGAGTTCTCGCGTTTCAGACCGCCAGTGAAACCGACCCCTTTCAGTCGAAAAGGGTCGGTTTTCCAAGTGATGGGTTGCTGGATGACGGGCGATGCGATGGCGACGCGGCGAGCACCGCGTCCGACCCACGCCCGAACATGGTCAACCAATGTTCGAACAATGTTCGAACATGTTCGAACTTGAGTTCGAACATGTTCGAACATTTTCGAACATTATTACACGTTGGTCTGTGCTGGAGGCACGGGGGAACACTAGTCGGGCGAGGGTGGGGGTTGCCCAGTCACCCCCGTCGGTGATCGATGGTGTGATCTCGTGATGTGGTGGTCGCCTCCCCCCTCGTCCTCCTCCTAACCCCCCTCCCCTGCTCAGCCCGCGCGGCGGCTGGCACGAAGGGGCCATTGCTTCCGAATCCCAGCGGGCCCCAACCAGTGCGAGCACAGAACAGGCCCCCAGGCGGCCCCGTCCTCTCGTTGCCACCCTCGCCCGTCCTCCTCCTTAGCCATTTGGGCTCGCGTGATTGGCTGCAGCCACAGGCGCGACTGCGCGCGCCTCCACGGATTGCCTGCGCCCGTCCGTCGGCATGTCGGCCGCGGACTACCAGTTCTGGCGGCGCAACGCCACCGCCGAGGAGAAGGCGCAATGCGATGCTACTGTCGGGAACATCGCGAAGACGGAGTTCCGTCGCCAGTGGCGGGAGAGATTCAACCTGAAGAACCTCATGGCCACGAAGACGAACTCGCAGGAGGAGCGCAGGGAGGAGGGACTCAGAGGCGAGCACCTGCCTCGCTCGGTCTTGATTCGCGAGCAGGGGGGGCATGAGGACCCCGAAGCGGTCGAGGCGGCCGACAGGATCATAAGTAAAGCCCTGCAGCGGGGATATCCGTACGTGGCCTACAACCCCGATTCGGAGCGCGTGGAGTTCCTGAACAGGAAGCGCTTCTACAACGAGTCGTTCAAGCAGTCGCGCAGCCTCGACGTGGAGGGCGAGATCGATGACGCGAGCCCCGAGGAGCTGGCGGCTGCATTGACGGAGATCAGCAAGAAGGCAGGGATCCTCAATCGCGCCCATGCCCCACCGCCCGCCCTCGCCCCCTCGTGGGCTCGGGCTCGGGCGGGGGCGCGGGCGCGATAGAAGGTCTCATTCAGGGCTTGACCAGCGTGCCTGCGGGGGTGCTCGAGAACGAGTCTCGGAAAGCAGAGATGCGTTTGCAAGCCCTTGCCGACGGCGCGAGTCAAGCAAGTTCAGCACGTCCTTCGACGCCGCGCCCTTCGGCATCTCCTTCGATCGTTTCTTCTGCATGTTCGAACCCTGGGACGTCCCTGGCCGCCCCGTCTGCAGTGGCGGCGGGGAGCGTGGCGCCCATCAAGCGCGAGCCCCGTCAGACAACGCTCGGTGAGTTCGCCCATCCGAAGCGCAGCCTCCCCGCGGCCGCGGCTGTCTCGACGGAGGACTCCAGCGAGGTCAGCGCGGGCAGGTCGTCGGTGGGGCCCGACGACTCGGTCTCGCAGATCGGCATCAAGCAGGAGGCCCCTGACATGAAGAAGCAAAAGAAAGCGAACCTCGCTGACCAGGCCCTCGGCAAGCTGCAGACCGAGGCGCAGAGCTTCCTCAACACCGTGAACAAGGCAAAGATGGTCATCGAACGGGCTAGCATCGAGGGCTCAGAATGGGACTGGGCCAAGAACATGACTAAGGACCTGGCAGCAAGCGTGTCGACTACGGCTGCGACCCACGACAAGCTCATGACGGACGCGGTCTTCAACACGTCGGCCAGCATCAAGGCTGCGCATGGAGATGGGCTGCAAGTTTACGCGGAGAACCTGAAGAAGATTGCCGCCGACTGCCACGCTCTGGTTAAACAAGAGCTCGGACCACTTGAGGCGATGTTGAGCATCAAGCTCAAGCAGAAAGCTGACGCGGAGAAGCGGAAGGCTGCTCTGACGAAGCCCGACAGCGTCTAGACTCACATGCCCAAGCTTGTCACATAGCGTTGCGCCCTCGATCTGGCTCTGTATAGCTCGAGTGCCAGCTTCAGCAACATCTCCCCCCCATCATTCTCCATCTTAATCATCATCCTTCCCCTTGTCTCCTTCCTGCCCCTGCTCCAGCCGCTCCTCCTTTACTCCGTGCGAGTTTGCTAAGCGCCCACTCGCGTGCTTCTCCTCCTCCCTTCCTCATTCGCTTACTCCTCCACGGCTGTTGTGTGCGAGTTGCAAGAGCGGTGGCGATGGCTACTGCATGCTCGCGTTTGCGTTCGGGCATCTTTAGCTACTAAGTGCAGGCAGCTGTGGGGTGCTGCTCGTTTTGACTAGTTTCAGTTGCGTTTGAGGCGATGCTCTGGGGCCCGACGTGCACGGACTGTTGCACAGTGCGATTTGCTTTGCCTCGAACATCAGACCGCGCCTGTGTGAGACGCACCAGTCCAAGCACATGCACGCACACATACGCATGCCCACAACCACACACATTGGGGCGTTCCAAAAGGGGCCGTGCCTTCGCGAGTAGAAGGGGTCGTTGTCTCTCCCGCGGCGGCAAGCGGCGGCAAGGCGGCGGAAGGTCGGCGGACGTAAAACGCGGCCGCCTCTGCCTGCGGAAGTCGGCGGAAGCTCAGCGGGAGGCGGCGGACGTAAACCATGCGCCTCCGAGAGATGAAAACGTGTTTAGGTTCAGAGTTTTCGAACTCGCCCACGCCGCTTTCTTGTGTGACGCAACCGTCGCAGCACCTGGAGTTCGCATGAATCGTTGTGCTAGGCAACCAGCTGTGAGGGGTCCGTCTTGGTTGCGTTGCACGCATTCTCGTGCCGACTGCACGTCGGGCAACGCGCTTCTCCAACCAGTCGCCCGTGGTCGCAGCCATTTTGGCGCAGATGGGTAGGCGACAAGCGCGCCTTCGCTTGTGGAAGCCTTCCACCCGAGTTTTGAAGCGATCAGATGTCGACAGAGCCGAGGGGGGGACAGCGCATCGCAAATACTTGATCAAACAATGGGCGCTTGGTGCGAAGTCCAATGAGCAGCTCTGCACGGAAGCGTACCTAGCGGGCCAGGCAGGCGTAAGTGAAGTAGTTGATTTAGGTATCGATCCACAACTTCGAGGGCGCAATCATGCCAGACATGTTCGGGATGCCCTGGGGCTCGACGAAATTAGATGCAAACTTTACTTTGTGCGTGTTCCAATCTACTGCAAACGGGTTGCCAGGCGGGTGCATAAATGGATCCCAGTTCGACTACCCCACGAACTCCTCATGGATATGTACGACGCCAACCCCCGCAGCCACGACTTCAGAACCCAGGATCCCGACGAGATCATGACACCTGCATTTCTGCACCACCAAGTGACCCAGGAACGCGGCGTTGACAAAACTATCCCTCTCGGCCTGTACAGTGATGGGACTCCTGTCTATAAAACTGGTTCTGTGCTCGCTGGCACCATGAACGTCACGTGGCAACGCTCTCGGCATGTCCTGTGGCTCCTGCTGAAGAAGCAGATGTGTAAATGCGGGTGTAATGGCAGGTGTGCGCATGGGGATCGGGCATAAAACACCCTATCATGTTTCCCTCCGTGGCCACCTCGCCCACCCCATGTTTTTGTTTGTTCGTAATGTTTTTTTTTTCCGCCAGGTGCACTGTGGACGCGGTGCAAGTAGTGATCAACCGTTCTTTGAATCTGCTGGCTACGGGCGGGAGTATGACTCGCAGGTTTGATGACGCACCATGGAGGGAGGAGGATCGCATTCGAGC